TGATTAAAAAAAGGTCAACAATGTTTATTTTTGATAAATGGGTACATTTTTCATATAAAAAGACATTATAATCATATGTGATTTTAGTCAAATTTTATTGTTTAAGGGGCTAAACTGGCATATTTCTTCTATTATCATAATTTCACAGATATTTTTATAACTTTCATTATGTAAAGACTTACCTTTTTGATATTTTACTATTTCTTGCATTAAGGAATTTTTCACCTCAAGATTTTTCATATATATATATATATATATATATACTTAAAGTCTATAATGACAATAAATTTGATTGAATTAAAGTTTGAGATTTTTCTCAATCTATCAACTTCTTGATATTCTTTTCAAATCAATGAGTTGCCGAATCTTTGCTTCATTCTATCATATACACTACATTATAGAAGTTAATTATTACATATTTATCTACTTCACGAAAATCAAGTCATTCATCTCAAATATCTTCATCAATCTTTGTCTAGAAATCATATATTATGTTCTCATCATTAACTATTTACACGCAACCATCTACATATAAAGAAATAATGAGCATACGTATAATTATAACTTGGATTTCAAGATACAATGTTTGTTTGCATTTGCTCTTCCTAAAATCAGTATGACTATAACATGCTCATAGTGCTTGTTTAAGTTTGTACACATTTTACTTATAACTTAAGGATTTTAAGTTGTTGTCTTTTTTATTTTGAACCCATTTCTTTCTTCAATTTGAAGCTGACATTTCATTAATTAATTAATTTTTTTTTATAATTACGAGACGAAATAGAGCTTAGAAAAATTTATACCAGTCTTTAAGAGTAAAAAGTCGTATTATAGTCAATACCTGTTATTAATTTTGAGTAGCGTTTAACCATCAACATTGCTTATGCTTTTAAAGTCTACCAATAAAATTTTGTTTTGTAAAATCATTTAAATTTTGAATATATTTTTTTCCTCTATGTCTTTTTCCCATGTGTGTTTTAAGATTGCTTCAATTCTCTTTAGCTCTATTGCTTATTGTCAATTTCTGTAACTCAAACACTATGACAACTTTCTTGTTTGAGGTGATAAAAATAATCATAAGAAAGGACATGATGCTTTGAATTTTTTTCCTATTAAATAATCAAAACTTTTCTAACGTGTTCAAAATAGTTTTAGTGGCCTAGTTCAAACAAAACTGTCTTCAGTAAAAAATACATGTAGTGTGTATCCAACAAATAGTTATTCTATGATCATAATGCTTGTGTTATCAAATAATTATCAGATAAAGTTAAATTTTGTAATTATATAACCAAAATATAGTCACAAATTTTATTAACATACAAAATTCCATGTTTTTCACTTTGAAATTATATTTTCTTCGTAATTAAGTTGTTGACTATAGCAGGAAACTAATTTCTCTCATAACACATATGTTTTGTCTAAATTTTTTACAAAGGAGTCAATAGTTTAACTTGATAATTTAGATTGTATGTTGTTGATCTATTTATAAAGGTTTCATTTTTATAGTTGTTCCATCATTTTAATGATATTGATTCTCAATTTAACTGGATCTAAACAATTAATGGGGGATACAAACATATCAAGTAGCCTCATCTAATGCAAATAGGGTTATCACATGACAAAACAATACATGTTGAATCTTTCTCTATAATGTAAGAATTTACTTTAGGTTATTTATGATTTAGTTTAGTTCAAAGTTTCTCAAGTACAATCGTTTGAAACTTTGAATTAATTTAGCTTTAATTTGGCAACCTAGAATATATTTAAGGAAACATATTCAACTTGGTTAACCAAAAATGTTTGTTGAACTTATCCTATATCTAACCAGTTAAGTTTGTTTAGGAGGAATATTATTTAAAAAGCATATTGAATGGTTATTGCTTTCATTGACCAAATCATTCTCCTTGTCAAATGAATGACTTATCATTATCAATTCATGAGTAGTATTTAAAGTCCATATTATGTGTGTGGCCCAACAACTTAATACATTTGGGGTCATAATTATCATAATATAATATTAGTCTCTCTAACTAATAATCATGCATACTTTTATTTACATTTCTTGACGGGACAAAATTTATATATGTAATTCCTTAAATTTAATTAATATTTTTCATCAATCAAAATTGAAATTTTATCTCATTAATATGAATTTATATTTAATGCAGATTTTAGTTATATACATTTATGTATATTGTTGGGATAAAACTCTAATATTGATTGTAAAATAATACCAACTATATATAGAGAATTGTAACTATGTTTTGTTGTTAAATATAATATTTTTTTTTATTTCACTACATAAGTTTATCCCTATTTCATAAAGTTAAGTTGTAAGACTTAAAATTGTGAGTATAAGTTTGATTCCTTATAATTTGTTCTACATATTTTTTATTTATTTATCTCGTTCTCTTTATAAGATCTAGTTGATGACAAAAATAACTTGAGTTGAAATTATAAAAAAGTTAAGCTTAAAGACTTCATGTTCATGTTATACATTTATAATATATAGGGCTGCTCCTTCAAATTCAATTCTCAACGGCCATAATGCTACACAAATGGTTTCTTCAGTTGGTCCATCTAATGCTATTTTTCTTCAACAAAACTTGCGAATTGGAAGGGTAAAAAATTTCTAAATCACTTTTTATCTTTTTAAACCCTTAATGCTAGCATGAAATTACTACTAAAATATTGAGCCTGGGGTTCTAACACATGAAACTTGAATTATGGAACTTGAAAAGGAGGTGACCAGAGAAGATTCTAACTTAGCAGTAAGGAATTTCAGAGAGGTAAGCCCCGTATTCATATATCTTCAAGACATAATAAGTTGTGTAGATGGAATTAATACGTATCTTTGTGGTCATTTTAATAAATTACATTTAATTGAATTTTTTTTTCTCTTTTTGGGTTTAGTTGTGTCTCTTATACAATTGTGGCATAAAGTATATTAACCCATGATGGGATTTTGAGGTTCTTTTATTTGGTTTATTTTTTGTTGTTGCAGATCAATTCACCTCTAGGACAAAGTGCTAATGCAAGTCCTGCATTCCAACAACCACACAATGCACTTGAGAATGCAGGA